ACAAGGGGGGCACATAGTTTTCTTTTGAATGAGGCTTCTCAAATTGTATAGGAATCACATTTACTACCATATTTACAGTGCTGGAAGACTTCTTGTATGATGCATTAGGTCCTCGATAAATATCTGTTCCTCAGATAAATGCTTATTGTCCCCATGCTCTCCTGAGAAACTGTACAAATTATTTGGAGAGAGAACTGTACTTCATACACTTTCATGTATATAAGGATCTTCTGTGCTAATTGCATTTAGTTAAAGTATAGGTCCTAGGCCCCAGTCCCAAGGTTCCACATTCAGCTAGCATAAAGCACTGAAGCCTGATACAGTTGTGTTTTTAAGTAAGTAACTTCCATGATCCTGATGTGGGCAGTTCTTGACCCACACTTAAAGGTAAACACATACAGAAACAGAACTATCACACTTTAATCTTGGTGAATCCACCTAGTCATTTTCACATGCTCTCACCACTGTTCTCCACTGCAGCAAGGAAGGAACCACATTCATCTAGAGTATTCTGACCATCCAAGATGCAATTTAGCAATTATTTGATCAAATGAATATTTCCTCACATTATATTTCCTACTCCCCTCTTTATTCTTCTTCTGTTTCAATTATTTAGTAGACATCCATCTTTTTACCATGCTGCTCAGCATTGTTCTCTCTTACTGGTAACGTCACCCTGAATTTCACCTGGGTGCCACTTCTTCCCTTTCTCCCAACCCCTGTACTTCAGGTAGCATTGATTGCTCCTCTGATCAAAGTAGAAGCATGATTAATGTCTGGTCAATCAGAGCATTGTATTGTTCCAGTTAAGGCTGGTTGTTCAGAGATGAGTAAATGATATAATCAGCCCTAAAGCAATGTAATCATGTTTCCTGGAAATTCTTGAAGAATACACTTTCAGTGTACTTTCAGTGTACTTTCCAGTTACATTGGAATTAAAACTGGTTGAAGACAAATCTGTCTTGCTTCTTTGTGGAACTCAAAAGCAAAGCCAACTATTGGAAGACAGCAGAACTCAGAGATGAAAAAACTAGGACATTTTGATGTTAGAGCCCCAGATCCAGCTATGTCTGAGGGTAAGTCTAACTAGGAGCTTTTCGGACATAGAAGTCAATTAGCTTTACTTTCCTCGACTTGCTTTGATTTAGATTTTCTATCATTTGTAATCAAAACAGTCTAAAAACACCTAAGAAACAGTAACTGGTAGATAGTCTAACAGTTATTCCACCGAACACCTGATCAGCTTTCCATCCTCATACCTACTCCAGATAGCTCATCCTCTACTTTTACTATTCTCTGAGTAACTTTCAGCACAAGGACAGTATTGTTTTGAATTCATATCTCCTGAAGGGAATATCAAAATATATTGCAAATATCAGGTGTACAAATAATGCCTGTTGGATAAAAGAAAAGAAGAAGTTAAATGCCTTACTTGCTCAGCAAATTTTCTGAGCCTGGTGAGCAATTGAGACACCTGCCAGGACTGAGCTGTTGGGCCTGACCTGTCCTCATCCTTTGCTTGGGGGTGTGTTTACTTTTAGTGTCTTTTGTCATTCTTATTCGTGAGAAAATCTCCAGATTCTTTACTTTATTTTTACTCGTAGGAGTTAGTCCTTTTCTCTTTGATTTGTGCCACACAGCCACCTGTGTTATTACTTATTCATCTTTTTCATCTTGATTGCATTTTATATTTTCCTTTTTTAATAGCAATTTAGAGTCATTCAGACTGTTTTCTATAAGCATTTCCACCCACTTATGAGATCTCCTACTGAATTCACTTCCTGACACCTGGGAACAGATATTTGCCAAATCTTTTTTAGTGTGCATCCAAGACTGTTTCTCTAGCAAGCTGGGAGGACAACTGAGTAAACTATTCCTTACCTACTTTACCAAACACTAGAGAAATGAACAGAGCATCTGCTATTCTGCAATCATTTAATCATTGAAAATATACCAAATACACAGTATGCATTAAATTCTGAGTTGATTCTGTAATAGATACAAAGGTGAAAGAAAGTCAGTTGTGCTTGTGTATGCCTATAATCTCAGCAGTGTGAGAGGTGGAAGCAGGCAGTTCAAGTTCAAGCCCAGCCCAGGCAAGTTGGCTCTTAATGGGAACCTGCCTCAAAATAAAAAGAAAAAAGAAAAGAAAAAGAAAAAAACAAGGTCTTGCCCTTTGGGAACTATGAAGGTAGAGGGGAACAAAATAAATATAATGCAAGGTGAAGGAAAAATGCTACTTGATAGTATAGGGATTCAGAAGAAAGAGGAAGAGTGATTACATTTGACTGGAGATCTGGGGAGGAGTTTATCTGCAATGGGAACAATGGGCAGCAACTTTAAAAATGGAAACAGGATGCCCAACTAGAGGAACACTGAGAATAGGTATAGCTGCCTCTGCTCTTAATTCAGTGCTCTGTATTTGGTGGATAGCACAGCCATTAGAATAAAATGCATAGAAAGACATAGTGGCAGTGAGGCCAGGACAATTAATGTGTCAGTACAGGAAAGCTCTCACTTTCCAAGGGATCAGACTGGGGCCAATGGGACAACCCAGGATAATCTCCCCATCTCAGTAACCTCACCTGACCCCATGTATACACTCCCAGGTGCCTTCACTAAGGCAATATTCACAGCCTTGGAGGGTTAGGACACGGGCATCTCTGGGGCTTGGAATTGCAAGAGCACTGTTCAGCTGTTGCTGGTGTTTTAAATCACAAAACCTGCTTCATACCGGTAACATGAAGTATTAGCCTAATGACAACAAATGCATTTAAAGCAGGTCCGAGTGGATGGTTTGAAATAACCACATCTAAGATTGTTGGGAGCTGTGACCTTGGAGACAATCTGCATTCAGACAATTTGCTCAGCCCTTGAACTTAACCTGTACATCTTCTTACCACTGTTGGCAAACAAATCAATGAATAACATTTCTAAATCTTAATATTGATTTTTGTTTTCCTTTCTAAGAATGGCACTCTGAGTATCTTTAAAGAAGGAAAAGAATGTTTTAATAATACTTTTTTAAAAAAAGATATGGATGAAATCATAGTAGACATACTGTATTATTGCTAAGCATCTAATTTATCAAAGGACTTTCATAGATACAAAGATTCTTTTTGTTGAATTCAGTATGGTTTATTCCCTGAACACGATCACTTTTAAGTGGAAAAAAAAAAGATTGAGCACTTAAAAGATACAAAGAAATTGTGTGCCTTTATTTCTTAATTTGTTAAATAGATATTTATTAATTAAGGGGCTTCTACATGCCAAACACTAATTGGCCACTTTGACGAAAGTAGTACACAAGGTATGCAGAAATGCCTGCCAGTGTACAAGATAGCCAAGAAACTAATGATGAATACTAAGGACAATAAATTTTGGGAAGGCAGTGTAAAATGTTAGCTGGCTTGAAATTCCTGGTGGGGAAAAGTACTGAGTAAGTGACTAGGAAGTGAGGTAGATCATGGCCTCTTCTCTCACAGCAGGTCCTGTAGATGGCTCCAGCTATTCTGGCCACTGCATTGCGGGTTGCACTGCAGTGGACAATCACTTTTGGGAACACTGAGATGGGTTGTGGACTGGCAAATAAAGTCTGCTCTAGAAGAGCATGGGGGCTGGGGAGGCAAGCAGAGAGCCAGGTCAGCTGAGGTACAAAGGGATCACTACAGCATCATGAGAGATCCCTGGGAACTGAGAAGTGCTTCAGCAGAAGCTGTGTCACAACCGAGAGTGGCCGAGTCAGAAAAGCAGCCAGTCACATGATTCTGAAGACAGTTTGTCAGAGGAACAGCTGGTCACAGTGGCTCTGTGATGTTTTTTATAACATGAGCGAATGAGGGAAAAGACAAATACCGACGTGCACCTGGCACTTGTGCGTGGCTGCCCGGGATCCTGAGCCTGCAGCATCGAAGGCCGCACTGGCCTTGGGGCCAACCTGCTGGTTGGAGACCCAGAAGCCTTGTCCTGCATCTTTTTCCTTACATCCTTGCCTGCCCCTCAGCCTCCAGCCACCTGTGTCCTTCCCAGGATGCTTTTGTTCCTTGTAATAAAGTGGTTTTCTTTTTTTAAGAATGATCATAAGGACACCCAGAAAATAAAACTAGGTGCCTATTCTGAAGCTCTGGCCAGCATGCACACATAAGGCGTCCCTCCTCTTTTGCTGATTTCCCAGGAGAAAATTCTGCTCCATGAATATCAGAGGCCAAGCAGTGATGCCGAGAGATGAACAGCCTGTGACCCCCTGACAGTTCCCATTCCTTTCCTGGACGACCATCTCAGAGCAAAGGTCACAGGGACAATGCTGCACCTGCAGCCCAGGAGGGCCAGACCCAGGCCAGGAAAAGAGCTCTCAAGTAATTGATGCTAATTATTATTGAACCAAATGTGTCCTTTCACAGAGAGGTGGAGGACACTCTGTCACCCTCGAGGCCATTACACCAGGATCACATTTAGAATTCTCCACAGCACAGATGCACACATGGTCAAGAACTCGCAAGCACTGTATGTACACTGTTCATAGGATAAAGAAAATGTGTTTACACCCCGTGGAGTACTATTCTGCCAAAAAGACAGGTAAACTTCAGTCATTTGTCTGGAAACAGATACACCTTGAGACCGTAATGTTTAGTGAAATAAATCAGGCACACAAGCTTAATTATTGCATGGTTTCTTTTATATGAGAACCCAGAATAGAAATAAATTAAAGAGCCAAATAAAAGACAGATAATAGGAAGTAGGGAGATAGAGCTTTCTCAAATGGGAAGAGGGCCAAGAGATGGGAGAGTGTAGGAAGGGGAGAGAAAGGAATAGAAAAGGAATTAAAATGTGTTATGTATGACAAACATTATGTACTGATTGCAAACATTATGATTTGCAAACATGTATTAAGAAAAAATAAATTAAAAAAACGTATTATCATAAATTTCTTCAGCTCTCTAACAAGCTGCTCAGGACTCAGGCAAATGACAAAAGCAGCCCAGGACCTGGAGTAAGAATACTGAGTGGAGAAGCAATTTATTCACAAGCACTTGATCTCTTCCTGGGCCTCGGGGCTGCTTGGGAGGATTTGCACCCTGAGAGGTAACAACAACTCCGGAGACCTCATAACTGTCCAGAGAATTGCTTCCAAGGGCATTCATCTGCTCTCCCGTGATGTTTATGGGAGGATAGACCTAGTGAGGAGAATGAGAAAAGAGAGGAAATGTAAGAAAGGTACCTAGCTGTAGGTAAGGCATGACCTGACTGAGTTAAATGCAGGCATGCTTGTGCCCCCGCCCTGACCTGGCAATAACCTACTTATTGTTTTGGAGAAGAATTTAAAAGAATGTTATTTTTTCTTGCTTTAATTTATCATCTCTCCCCTTTTCCCCCTTGGATTCCAATGTAATGGGTTTTAAAGGTCTCTCATATATCAAAATAGCATGGCCAAAGTCTCACATTTAACACTGCAAGACTATGCTCACATTTACAATCTCATTTCCAACTTTGACTTTATTTTTCTATTTGTAAAAAGAGTTATATTTCTTAGCCCAAATATTGAATACAGGAAGTCCAGTCTAATTCATTCATATACAAAGGAATTATTGTACTCAGATAATGTTCTGGGCTTTCATCCTGGGGTCCAATTTTTCCCTCTCATCATTTCCTTCAGGGTGAAGACATAGATCACCATCTTAGCTCATGTTGCATCATCCAATTTGATCCATATTATAAATGACAAGAAATTTAATTATGTTAGACACTGATATATTTTTCAAGGTTTCTTGTGTTTGAATTCACTGAATTTTTTTGGACCTATGAATTTATCATTTTTATCAGATTTGGAAAAATTTGGTCCATTAATTTTTTAAAAAATTTTAAACAGGCCGCCATTCCATGATCCTAGGGCAGAGAAGGTGAGCCAGTCCCAGCACCCTGAAGGATATGAGAAGACATGTAAACAAGTCTCAAAAACAGACTTCTGGATCACTTACAACAACCCCAAAGGGAAATGAGATGAACAATCTGATACTCAACTAGCTGGACTCTCTGAACTGGCAACAAAAGAGGATCTGGGACAAATGAGATGAGAAATAATTACTCAGATAACAGCAAAGATTGTGCTCATGGTGCAAGACGTGAGTAATAAATCTAGAGAGGACACAGATAAAAAATTAGAGGATCTGAGATCATAATGGAATCCCAACATAGGAAACAAATGTAATCCATAAAACAGATGCAAGCAGATTTCCAAGAGATCAAAAACTCCATTGAAAGTCTATACAGCAGAATGAACCAATGTGAGGATAGAATTTCAGATATAGAAGAAAAGATTGCAATTAGTGACCAGGAA